AGATTACTAACCCGTTCGCTCCATCCCACGTGGGTTAAACTACGAAAACCCCTAGTTTAGGAATATATTCTACTCGCAAATTTAAAGCCTAACAACCATAAAACAGGACTGGACGAACGCTGGCACAATATACACGATCTTTCAACTTCAGTGAAACGTCGCGTCTACACCAAAAGTGTTCAGTCCTGCGTGTGCTGCTCGAGCCTTGGAAATGCGGGCGGTTGTCTTTTGCTGCGTTATCGTCATTGGCCGCGCAACTACGTAAATACGAAAAGTAATCCACCATAACCAATTTCTGGCCATTTATTTCAAGGATCACTTTGCACTTTAAAGGTGCAAAGCACATACCGAATGTGACAACCGCACTTGTTAGTCCATCAAGTCCACTTTGCGCGTCCTCCGTTCATCCGAACAGACAGGCGATGTCATTAGCGTACTCCAAATCGCACAGCTTTTCCCCAGCTACCCATTCAATACCTATAGTTTGGAGACCACTTAGTGCGTTCTCTAGTATTTCGTCTACAAAAGTATGCGATCTAAATCAGTCGGCGTGTGAAAGATCTACACAGATCCTTTCTAATTCCGATCCTCATGCGAATGATAATCTATCCGAATGGCGCTAACACGCATCTACCCATTTCGGTTTTTATCTTCTATAGTCCCTTGGCTGGTTTTAATATGCAAAAGTCGGCCATGGGTCTCCAGTGGAACAGCACAACTTGTGGAGGGTAATCCTTCGAACGATCACTATTTCCATCTTTTCGATGAGATGACAAGTAATGTTTGGTGAAGAGACCTTTGGTCTATGCAAGTTTAGTGAAGTACAACTACAAATCGAACAGCAGGTCTGGAGGTTTATCTTTCTACTGGTTACTGTGACGAATTCATCCGTAATACTGATTGGCGTTCGTAGCGTTTCCGTTTTAAAAATGACCATATAAATCGGCACAACACCCTCAGACAATGTGCTCATGAATGAACGAATTCTCCATTTTCTCTTCGACTCTACTTGCAACTTCTCAATTTTTCTTCTAACCCTTCATTCAAATGGGCAACCAAAACCGGCACAGGAAAGTATTCAGTTTAATGGTTGTACAAAATGAATTAAATTCACCGACTCACCTGAGAACGATGAAACACCAAAATACAGGCTAGTGTCACATGGACAAGTTTATCGGAAACTTACCTCCAGAAGATCGAGTGCAGCAGAATCTGTGGTATGGATGGCCTTACGCAGATTGGTTTTCTGACCCACGGAGAGAAAATCTGACTTCTTCAAGTATGACAAAGCAGGCCAATCACAGTCCGCCGGAAAACCGAGTGTTCTAAATTAAGAAAAATATTTAGATTGTTCGAAATGCAACACAAAAACTTGCGTACTGTAGAATCACAACAAGCATTGCCAATTCATTGTCCTTGGCGAACAACGGTTTCAAATTGAATAATTCAGCAATGATACAACCAGCTGCCCAAATATCACACGGGGAGAGATACTCCGATTGAACAAGAATTTCCGGAGCTCGATACCACAGAGTAACCACAACCGGGGTTAGGGCCGCTTCCCAGCCTAGGACGCGAGCCAATCCGAAATCTGTGATTTTCAACTGACGACCCTCACGATCGATCAAAATATTGGCCGGTTTTAAATCACGATGGATGATACGATGGGAGTGTAAAAAATCGGTGCCACGAAGGAGCTGTTCAGATAAATCCTGTGATTTAGATACGGGAATCGAGAAAAGAAGTATTTGAACATCGCACATAATCGCTTTGAACCAACGCAGCAAGGCGAATAAGAATAACAATCAATATTTATGAATCAATCTAGCCGGTCTACCAAGACTAGTCATTTTTATTACAAGGTGATTTATAGCAAAACGGGCAAACTCAATCGTCAACAGTGTAATGAAGAGGAAAGGCATCTGAGAGAACATTCAGATAATAATAATAATAATCAAGATAATAATAATAAACTGCTCCGTGCCTCAAGCCTGAGTAGATAACGATTCTTGGCAAGCCCAGTGCTGGATCCCCAAATAAAGACAAATCTAGGATAAATACACCGGAATTGAAGTAGCTGACTCGTTCTATCGCAATGTAGACTGAGAAGCAATTTAAGATACATTCGTTAGAACTCAGCTGCCCTTAAGGGCAAATGGGTTTTGGAAGGGATTGGATCGAAACAAAACGGTGTCACGATCAAACATTTCAATCAGGAAACTTACAGGACCGAACTCATCGACCCACATCATTTTATCAATATATCAAATAATAAATAACTCTGGTACTTTTCGGCGACTTAGTTCTATGAGGATTGGTCAGCTTCATGAAAAGATCTACGGAGAATCTTAAGAATATGATGCGAATGGGCCTCCTTAGTATAACTATGTTTTATTCTTTGAGGATTCGCCTCAAAAGCTTACACAAATAAGAGTGATCTGCAGGGGGCGTGCGAAATACACAGACGTTTGTGGTTACCGGTTTGATGGAGCATCTACGTGTATTCGGTAGCTCTAACGCTTGGAACTGTTCAAAGGGTGTATGATCTGATAAACTGAACTCCAGTAGATTGCAGTTTTCCACACACCGCCCCGCTGTCTTGCGGGGAAGCCATGAGTTAGTCGAAGGTTCCGGTTCACGAACAAATCACGGATCTATTTTGGGTAATAAAAATTTGGGTATGGTGATTTGTTTGGCGTAGAGTTCCTCGAACCTCACAAATTGTCCCGATATATTACTTAAATACAGAGTAGAGATGTGAGTTTGAAAGTGGATAGTCTAGTCACCTTCCACATGATAAACAGTACATTTCAGTGTACAGAATTATATCTATTGTTTGGAAACCTTCAGTACTAGATTGAAGAGCGACGTGGAGCACCCATTTAAAAAAAATCGTTTTTGGCGCGTTCTACGAAATCGGAATTTTATTGTTGTGGTGCTCTACGATTGATGAGTTCTCTCGAAAGATAGTCTACCACCGCAAATGCGATAAGTGAGGACGAATATTTGGTAAAGATAAATAGTTATGTGGGTATGGGACCATAGATAAGCAAAAGGAGTTCGGAAGCGCAGATACGAATTATGATGATGATGATGATGATGATGATGATGATGATGATGATGATGATTGATGATGATGAT